TTAGTTGAAGAAAGACCCCAGTGTTTAACATGGGTATTTCTTCCCTCAAGGCTTTGCTGAAGAGCTGAGGGGGCACTAACCAGAACAAACTTACTACCTGTGTTGGTTAAATAGACAGTGTATGTAGTGCTTGGGTGTTTCTGGTCTCTGCATTGTCATTCCACATTCCATGTAATTGCTGAGACTGGGGTTTCCTGCCATTATTTGTTTGAAAGTCAAGACAGCTTTATTGGTTGCATCCTGGGTGCTTCTCTTCCTACTTCCTTCGCCAAGGTATTTGGGGTGACTTGTGCACTCTTGCAGAAGAGGAATCTCTGCTTCCATGCCTGCCCCAGCCTTACCTGTGAAGTGCTTGCTGCACAGAGGTATCCGAGGTGGCTTTATCAAGCTATTGAACATTGGTTCAGTTTAGCTGTGTTAGCCCAGACCTGGCTATTTAGCACTGATGTGGTGGACCTGGAGTTTTGTGCTCTGCAGGTGCATCTGTCAGACACCTACACATCAGCTGTGATGTAGATGGTGTTTATGAGGCTATTTATGCACATTTACTATCTCTGAACTAGGAGTTTGCTAAGGTGGAGGTGAAACACAGCTGGACGTGCAGTGTCAAATCTTTGTGTCCTTTCTCCTCTTCAGCGGCTGGGGAGTGAGTGTAACACTTGCTTATGTCCTCAAGGGCACTGTTTTCAAAATGCAGAGAACTGACTGCTTCTTGGGGTCTTTCTTCATTATATTTTCTAATGTCAGTGGAGTTGTCTATGCTGACATTGGAGATGATCCTTATTCTGGATACTGAAGCAACAGGATGGATGTTGTGTCTGTGTGTGTGCACACTTCCAGCTGCTCTCTGCCACAAATGATGTGATAATTTGCAGAGGCAGTTTGGAACAGTGAAGCACCCAGAAGCAAGTTCCTTCTTTTTGGGCTTTACTTCCTACAAGGAGAAGGCTGGAGAGTGTGTGTGTTTCTGTACAAGAGAGCTTTCAGACAGTTGATTGAGGCACCAGGTTCTCTGGACACTCTGCATGTTTGCAGCGGACACATCGGAGAATCCACACAATCCTCCTGTCCTCTCTTCCCCTGCTCCTCCAGGAGAGAAATAAACACAGTATCAGGCTTCCCTGAACCTCTCTTCAACTACCTGTCCAAGCATTAATATGGAGGAGGAAAACAGGGGAGAAAGACACAAACAGCCCCACTTGTGGACCAGAAAAAAGCTGATCTTGAATCTGGAGTAGGTGGTTAAAAGCAGCAGCAATCCCTGATGCTTGGTGCAGGGTCTCAGCTGGCCTTGCCCAGCTGGCGTGGGAGCCCCGGCTGGTCTGGGAGCTGCATTTGGTGCCCGTGGGCAGGGGCTGTGCAGCCACGGAGCCCTGGCCCCCCGACACAGGTCTGGCTGCCCTGTGCTCCGCGGGGCCCCGCTGCAGCTCGTGACTGCCCGGCACCGCTTGTCACCTCGCATTACCTGACAGACGGGCTGCGGCCGCTCCGGCCTGTGTAAATGTCACCTGTGCCGAACGCTGCTGCAGAGGCAGAGCCGGCCGTAGCTGGTGTGCAGGACTGAGTCCTGTCTCCCCAGTCCACCCTGCTCTGTCCCTCTGCTTCCCTCTGGCAGCTCCACTCTGGCCTGGCTCTACTGCCGTCTGTCTGTCTCCCAAGTGATGGGAGAAAATACCTTGAGAAAAGCCATTCCATCCCGGTGAACCCAAGACCTTTCTGGGTGCTTTTTGTTGGGAGATGTGGGACACAGACCATCATATTTTCCTGCAGATCATTTCGTTGAACTATTTTCTTTCAAAGTGAATCAGACTTGCAATCTCAGCTGTCCTCATTGTCCAAGCCTCCCTGGCTTCTTTGAACTGAAGCAAGTTTGATGGTACTCAGCTCAAGGAATAAGTAATCCCAGTGTCAAGGATGCTTTGGCATGGCTCTTCCTGCACACCTTCTTTCAGCTGTGCAAATTGTTCCTCTCACAAGCTGATAACCTGGTAACAGTCACTTCTTATATCCCTCTTGGAGCATTCCAGCTTGAAAATGAGAAGCTGAGAGGACAGTTTTCCCCAGGTGCGGGAGAATGCATTTTTTGCTTCCCTGGGGACTGACTTGGCAAACTTATCCCAGGAAGGGGCCAGAAGTTAAAGTTTTTTGTTGTTTGTGGGCTTTTGTTGTTGTTGTTGTTCTGCTTTTCTGACTGGGGTTTGTATTAGAATTTATAACAGAAGGATAAAGTTGTTCATTGGTAAGTGGAAAGTTAACACTGATAGCTTTGACCAATGGGTTTGTCAGAGCCTTGTCAGGACAGTGAGGTGAGGCACTCTGGATCCAAACATGTTAACTCTGGTTTGTGTCATCAGGCCCTGGCAGAACCTGGCTTTACACCTCTGTGCTCTCCAGTAGATATTTTCATATTTTCATTTATCTGTCCATCTTCACCAGCAAACACTCCTTCATGCATTCATGCTTCCTCTTTGGTGTCTCATTGCTGGGGTGAGGGAGGTAGACAAGCCCTCCAGGCTTCCTGACTTTGACCTTTGATCCCATCTCAGGTACTGGGGGATTCCCCTGACATAGCCCTTGAACAGTTGCCCCTTGGCACTGGCACAAGAACACAATGGGGCTTGCCCTGGCCAGCAGTGTCCTTGGATGAAAGCTTTGCTCTTGGTCCTTATGAGACTTGAAGCTGTTCTAATGGAGAAACTTAGGAGTGACAGCATTTCTGTAAAGTCTGGCATAAATGCAAACAGTTAAATAATTCTCCTGGGAGTCTTTTCTTATTGGTTTAAATCTTCTGCATAATACTTTCAAAATATGCCCTTTTCTGTGTTAATGGCAAAGGATGAAGAATCATTCTTCTCCTTAGCTGTCCTGGTGTGACAGATTTCTGCCCAATCTCCCCTTCAATGACTTATTTTCCAAGCTGGAGAATCCTCAAAGGCGATGTTGTTTATCTAGTTGTTTAAAGAGGCATAAAAACAAATTCTTTCTAAGCCTGTGCTACAGATGCTGGGGAGGACTGCGTGTTATGGTACCAGACTACTCACAGGTGATGAAAAATGCATTCACTTTTCTCTGAAGCTGATAATGGCACAAGTCAGGATGGTCCTTTTAAGCCCCAGGAAACATCTGAGGTGCCTCTGTGAGCTGAGTGCTTGTTTAGGTAAGGGGGGGGGCAGGCACACAGCACATCTTCTGCCCACTCCTAAAGGCACCCTGGCAGCTGTCTCTGGAGTGAGCAGGCTTTTCAGGCTTTTGCATTTGGAAGCCATTCCAAGGTAGGGATTTTGCTGTCTACCAACAGAAAACAGGCCATGTGTCTCCATGACGGTGGCAGGGGGATGTGGGGTGACTCTGTGGCAGCAGGCAGGAGCCCCGGCCCTGCCTCCAGACCGCCTTGCTGCCTCCAAGGCTTCTGCTTTTGTCATTAAGCCGACTTCCTCTTGCTGCACATCGCTTTCCCACTGGGAGAATTGATCCAAAAAGCCAAAGCAAGAATTGACAAAGACCTTTTCTCCCCCTCCCTCTGCAGAATTAAGTCTGAAGTGGGTTGATAACGGTGGATCGAGTCCTCTTTGACTCTGACAAATGTCTTTAATGTTATTCAGCAAGCTGACCTTTTCCCGTCTTTATTGTGCATCTTCCCTTTGAATCAGATTTGATTGTTACTTCAGGTAGAATAACAAACACTGTCACGTAAATAACTTTGCAATAATGTTAAAAGGAGGAAAAAACACAAACAAACAAACCACCAAAGTGCTGCCTTACTTGCAAATGCAATGGGAGCAAACATCCTCTGTGCCAGCCATGGAAAACCAACTGTGTGACCTTCCCACACAACATCTTTGCCTTGCTACTCCAGGGAATGATCTCCTGTGTTGAAAAACCATCAGAGAAATAATGGTTCATGGAAATGTTAATGACAGCTAATGCTAAGTGGGGTTGGTAAATTCTAGGGGAGGGAGAAAAGGTCATGTAAATCCTTAAAATGCAGCTACACACATAACCCATCAGGACTAGTGGGCACTTGATGCCCAGATATCCTCTGAATATCTGAGACTGACCTTATAGAAGACAGTATTAAGGCCTTGGCTGAGGTGTTTGGCCTCAGAGAGAAGTGGCAATGACCAAGGTTATATTGCTTTTCTATGCCACCTCTTCCTCAGAGGGACTCAGGGGCACATTGACCTCATGAACCTCATGTGAGGCTCAGCTTGGTGATGTGAACTGCAACTCTTTAGTGTGGAAGGAGGAAACTCTCTCTCCTTGTGGCTGCGAGACTGTTTGCCCACCCATGTCTGTGTGGCCACAGCCTCTGCTCTGTCTTGTATAAGTGAGGGAAGATAATGGACAAAATATTTTGTGGGTACCTTGTCCTGTAATCTGCATTTCTGCTGTGTCATGGGCAGTTTCTGTCCTGTGTTGCTCCAGCTCTGACTGGAGATGCTGACAACCAGCTTTGGGAGCGGGAGGAACATTTGGAATAGCACAGTGGTGATGTAAGTGTGTAGGAAGGGGAAGAGCTGAGCCATGGGAAGAGCCTGCTGAGTGTGATGCCAGAGCCATTGCAGGGAGCAAAGGTGCTTCACAAGACGTGGGGAGCATTTGGAGTTTCCAGCCTGGTCGGTGGGGATTTCATGGTCTCAGATGTGTGCTGTCTCTAGAGATGGTTTGGACAAAAGAAATGGGACCTCAGAGAATAGTTCAGAGGAACCAGCCTGAGGCAGGCAGGCGGTACCTTCTTCCAAGACTGCTGAGGCACCAAAGCAGTGAAGGAATATTTGGCTGTTAAGCATTGCCTGCAAATTATGTTTTGTTGCTGTATGTAACTCTATTTCCCGTACTGTAACTAACATTTTGTTCTTTTCCCTTTATAACATAAGGCATGTTTGCATGGCTTTGAGCCTTGGCCAGCATCTAAGTTGACACAACCACAGCTGGGCAGCTGACTGCTGTCTGGTCAGCCACACTCATAGTGTATTTAATCTTTCTGCTTCGCCCTGTAGATTCCCCTGTGCATGCCAGCTCCACATCTGTGAGCCTGTCATCAAGCCTTTCCACGGGAAATTCAGTGGACGGGCACCACAACTACCTCGAGGCCCCTGCGAACGCCGCCCGGGCGCTGCCGTCGCCCATGAACGCCATCGGGTCCCCGGTGAACGCGCTGGGCTCCCCCTACAGAGTCATCGCGTCCTCCATCGGCTCACACCCCGTCGCTCTGTCCTCGGCCCCGGGCATGAACTTTGTGACTCACGCCAGCCCGCAGGTAGGCAGATGTGCACACTTGCTTCCCTGCAGTTCAGTGTTCAGACCGGGTAAAGTTCCAAAACCTGAGAGAGTGGGTTGGCTGGAGGGGAATCTGGTGTGTTTTGGCCGCTCAGGGAGATCGGCTGTAAAGAACAATTTCCAGCATGTGAATCTTTCTGCATAAATCCCCCGGCACAGACACAGAGAAGACACCTGTATATATGTCAAAATACACTACATGATAAGGAGGGAAAGCTAATTTTCAGGTCTGTCCTCACTGTGGGTGCAGTCCAGCTCCCCTCCACTGCATCTATTGCAGGGTGCATCATTACTGTACGTGGAAATAGGATAGCCAAGGGCTGCAGCGTGTGAAGCATTCCCCTTCTTCCTGCAAAAGGATATCTGCTTCATTTCATTATTTGGAAAGGAGACAGATTTTTCAGAAAGAGACAAATGTTAATGCTAAATGCTGGCCACCTACTCTGTGTTGCATATAAACTTGGCCTGAAGGAAAATGAAGCACTCCCACCCTTACTGCCTGTGCTCATGTGGGTGCTGAGGTTTCCCCTCCAGAGGGGAGGGGAACCAGATGTTAGGGCCGGTGCCTCCCCAGAGCCATGGATGGGCTAGGAGCCTCACAGGGTGGCTCTATGGGGCAGAGATGTGCTTCTCCAAGAGCCTGGCACTACTTCCAGCATGGCTGGGATCAGGGTGGAAGTGTGGAATTTTAATGGAGTGCTGAAATGTTCTGGGAGTCCAGATCTGGGTGAAAATTCTGCCTCTTATCAACAAGGCTTTGTGTTTAATGGTGGGACCTGAAGATAGGAAGTGCTCAAGAGCCTCATGGCTCCTGCTGAAGAAGGAGCAAGGTGATGTCCTTGAGCCCTCTCTGCCACATATTTGCTGCTGTTCCTCAGTCTGTCTGAAGCTCTTCCTACTGCCTGGAAGGCTGGGAGAGGATAGTGTGGGGAGGAACTGAAGAGCTCTGAGGGAGTATAAGCACAATTTGGCATGTTTGACTTACCCTTCCCCAGCATCCTCAACTCCTGTGTGGGTCTGGGCTATCTGCAGTGGGCATGCTGGGCATCCTTCTTCCCCTGGCACCACCTGACTGTTCCCCACTGACCTGACAATATTTGTGCTCACAGCATCCAGGGCAGGCACTTTGTGCTTGTGGAAATGGTGGCAGTATTGGCTGCTTGGAAGCCTTTCCTTTGGGGTTGGAGATGCTCTGGGAAGTGGTTTCCCCAGTCTGGGCACTACGCCAGGTTCCCAGATTCGAGGAGAAGGTTTCATTTGTGTTGCCTCTAATGCAAGGAGACAGCTGGGCCTTGGGGATTCAGCAGGGAGGCAGCTAATGGATTTGGGTTCAAGCAGTTGTCCCAGATATCATACATGATTGCACTTAACCTGCAGGAGTCAAGCTCTGAGGACAGTGATGGCTAAAACTGCCCTGTGTGTCCCCCTTCTACACACCCTCTCTCCCTTTTATTATCTCAAAGTGCACACAGAGAGAAAGAAAAGATAGTACCCAAGCTCTGAGCAACATTTTAAACCATAAAAAGTTCCTATTGGCTCAGCATCTTGCCAAAATGATGTTTACAGGGTAAAAAAAGGTGGCTGGACACTTGTGGGGAGGAAAGGCATTTATTTCTCTTTTCATTGGACCAGATTTTGAAATGTAAGGATTTACAGCTGTCAGTGTCTGGTTGGAGTTTCTGCTGGGGAGAGTGAACCTCTGTTCCTCTGGGCAATTTTTCCCAATGCACTATTATTTTCCAGTGAAACAAAACAACCTGGATCCTAATTTTTCCTGGTTAATTTGTATTTTCCATGTTATCAGATCTTTGAAGCTTTGAGAATGAAGGGACAGTGGTGAGGGAAAATGAAAGCAGGCTTCACCTTTTTATTTTTCTAATGACAGGTTCAAAAATCCCAATGGTATGAACCCTTCTTGTTCTTTACTGAAATTTCCTGTGGAATTTATTATGTTTTTTCATGGGAAATGGGCAATTTCTTGGAGCAAATGGAAAACTTGCAGCATATGAAATCTAATGGTTTAGATATTATGGAGACTGTAATGAAGGCAGTAGCTGGGTCTTCATCCAAAGCCTTGTTTCTCTCCCTGCTTCTGCCCTCTTGCTGGGAAGAAGAATTTTAGCTGCTAAATTGGGATGAGTGTTAGAAACAAACTCAATGATGAAACAACAACCCCCAGCCCTCAATGCTTGACAATGGGAAAGATGATTTGATAGTGGGTTTGGAGAGACATTGCTCTGCCCAGACAGCTTTTGACAAGACGTGCTCAATGGCCCTTAATCCTCCCTGCCCTGCCAACAGTGGCTCCAAAGCAAACAGCAATAAAACAAAGCCCTGGGCAACATCAGGCTTTGGTCTCTAATCGAGGTCGGTTTGTAACCTTTAACTTCAGCAGCCACAAGCAGCTCCTGGGGATCTCGCCTGGGGGCTCTGGGTCCTTTGCCTGCATCTCACTGCAGCTGATTTTTAGATGCTCAGCCCAATCCCTTTTTTCTTTTTCTTTTCCTTTTTTCTTTTTTTTTTTTTTTTTTTTAATCTGGCAACCCCAAATCTGCTCCGTTTGGCAACCTGTGGTAGCATTTGGGAACCCAAGTCCCAAGGAGTAACCAAAAAGCCATGTTTTCATGTGTATATGCAGATTTGTATATCACGAGGCAGGGGAGCTAACCAACTTAAATTTTTTACTTTTTTTTTAAACACCATTACATTTTCTCTACCCGTGCATCAGTGCAAGTTTAATTGCAACAAACTGCCTGGCTGCAAAGCTCTTCCTTACGAAGCTGTTATAGCTCAAATCTGCAAGCAGCCAGTGATCAGCATTCTCTAAGGCAACAGGCAGGAGGATCCCACCAGCTTTGTTGCTTGGAGGCTGTAACTGAGCAGCTGAGGCTGCTGCCTGCCCTTTTCCAGCTCTGCTTAGTCCTAGCTTTGGTTACAGCATCAGGCCACGGTGAGAGGCAATATCTGCTACCAGGCAACTGCTCAAATCCCTCCATCTGGATTCACCAGAGGATGTCTGTCTACTCATGGCAGCCTCATGGAGTTGCTGGGGATAAGCTTGTGGGACAAGCTCAGTAGGAGCAGCAAGGGAGGGGTCAGCTCCATTTGGGGATGGCTTCGTTGAGATATGTGTCTCGACCCTCTAACCTGTCTTGTGCCTTCTGCTTCTGCAGCTCAATGTCCTGAACAATGTCAGCAACTCAGAGGATGTCAAGCCCTTGCCGGGTCTCCCAGGGATTGGGAACATGAATTATCCATCTACAAGTCCAGGATCCTTAGCCAAACACATCTGTGCCATCTGTGGGGACAGGTCCTCAGGTAGGAGGTGTTCTTTCTTGGAGAAGGCTTTGTGCAGTGAGAACTCCCCTGATGCTCTGCAGCAAGGCTTGTGCAGGAGTGAACAGTGCAGAGGCTCGCTGGGGCCAAACTGGCATTGCAGGATTTGTAGCTGGGTCTGGCTTACCCAAGGCCAGGCTGTCTGTATTGCAGAATAGTTGCACTGTGCCCAAAAGAGAGCAAACCTAAAAGCCATGCTCTTCTCCCTTATCTGTATAATCTCATTTTACATTTTGCCCCTGTTTATCAAAGGTAAATATATCAAATCTCTGTGTTCTCATTTACCTGTGCTTTGTGTTAGCTGGGTTTTGGCTGTGTCTGGGCTTTCTCTCCTACCCCAGTAACCTGCAGCCTGGTGTGCATTGCAGACCCCTCCATACCAGTGTGCCCCATTTGCTATCTATGGCTGTTCTGCACTTGCACTGCAGCAAAGATGCTCCACGTCATCCCACTGGGATGCAGTCCCTCCTTACAACAGGAAAGCAATGGTCCTATAGTTTGACTGCTGCTGGTCATTATTCCTGCAGGGAGCCATTGAAGCCAACTCAGGCCTGTTAAGGTGATACCCTGCAGTCAGTGTTTTTCACTTCTGGGGTTTGTTCGAGCTCCTCCACCGTGGAAGGAAAGGCAAATACCTGCTTGCCCATTGATGGCCTCTCCTTCCTTCCCTAGGGAAGCACTATGGGGTGTACAGCTGTGAGGGCTGCAAAGGCTTCTTCAAGAGGACAATCCGTAAGGACCTGATCTACACTTGCCGGGACAACAAGGACTGTCTCATAGACAAGCGCCAACGCAACCGCTGCCAGTACTGCCGCTATCAGAAGTGCCTCGCCATGGGGATGAAGAGGGAAGGTATGAGGGGGCTCGTGCAAGGAATGGGCTTGTAGAAATTTTCCTTACATTCATTAGGGTAAAACTGGCTTTTGGTGGCCCTCCAAGGCCGGTGCATTCCAAAAACCCACACTGACACCTTTAGGGTGTTACTGACCTTGTTACATAAAGGAAAAAAGAATCGTAGAATGGTTCCAGCTGGAAAAGATTTTTAAGATCGAGTCCAACCATTAACCCAACACTGCAGTGTTCACCACTAAACCATGTCCCTCAGTGCCACATCTAAACATCTTTTAAATACCTCCAGAGGTGGTGGCTCAGCCACTTCCCTGAGCAGCCTGTTCCAGTGTTTGACAACCCATTTCCATGAAGAAGTTTTTCCTCATAAGGAAAGAGGGGCTAATAAGGGAAGAGACTGATGGGAAAGCTATTACACTGTATTTTTCTTCCTACCTAAATACACTTACTGGTGACTATTGAACCTATTAACTGATGTTAACCCAAATTTTCTTTTAGTAAGTGACTTTAATGGGCTGGCTGCCTTGGCCCCTCTAAGCCTTTGCTGTGGACAGCACCTGGCAGTGAGGGGTCCTGCAGCCTACTTGTCTTCACACAGCCTACTGTGTGAAGAGCAGACCCCTATTTTGTTTTTGATTTGCTGACTTCATGTGTCACCACCTAATTCTTGTACTAGAAGATAAGGGTGAATGATTTATTCCTATCTCTTATTTTATACTTCTCTGTCATTTCCACTCAACCTCACCTTTGGAGATGAGCTCTGGAACAGCTCACATCGTGCAGTGTTTTTGTGCTGCAGGAGAGAGCTGTATGGAAAGCAATTCAGGGAGCCTCTTCCATATTCCACACACTCACTGCAACCCCCAAAGAACTGTTTCTGGCCCAAACCACCTCAAAGGTTTAGTTTGGAGCAGGGATCTGACCAGAGGCAATTGGACTATGTACTGACTTGAAGAAAGCCTCCAAGAGCTGCTGAGGGAGACGTGCGTCTGCAGTGGGTCCTGTAAGCCCTACCTCTCTCCCACCCAGCTCTGGAGAGTATGAAGGTCTTTGTAAAACCCACCAAGTGAGTCTCTGCTGCAGGGAAAGGCAATCCCAACTGCATGGCTGTTTATCTGTCCACCTCTGTCCCCTGGGTGGAGCAGGGACTGCTGGGCTGGATTGTCTCCCAGATTATACCAACAGATGCCAGGTTAGGTAGTGAAAACTAGCACAGTGCTTAAGCTCATTTTTTCCAAGATAAAATAACTGTGCTGCCTCCAGGATTGAGTGTTAGTAGGCAGTGTAGCTGTCCATTTTGGAGGCCATGTGTCCCCCTGTGGAACATGCAAGCTGCTCCCTGTGCAGGAGCTTAGACTACGCAGGGCAGAGCCTGGGGAAGTATCTGTAACACTGGACATGAGCTGAGCCTCATCTTGTTCCCTGTAGCATCATCAAAGCTGTGCTGCCTCAAGCACTTAGGGCAGTGGGGGACTGTGAAATGCCAAGCTGGAATCAAAAACCTAATCCCAGGTATAGCTCTCCCTTCCAGCTGAGTGCAAAATGGTTCAGAGAACCAGGGTGTCAACGCAACTTCCCTTTGCAGAGAGTGAAAATTTCAACCCCAGGATCTTGATGGATCCCGTGGGAGTTTGGCTGCAGCAATCACAGGGGCTTTTCGGGAGCTGCAGAAACTGGGGACAGACTGCAGCTTGAGTTCAGAGGCTGAGTGATGGGACTGGTATTTCCTCGCCATGTTCTTTCTTCCACTAAGATTTGGTGACTTTAGAAGCACTTCCATAGCTTCTTCATATCCATTACCCTAAAGAGGACAAACGCTTCCCCCAGCTGGCTGGCACATAAGGATAAGCCAGGATAAGGCAAGGCTGATGCAAGGCACTCTGAGCTCCTACTCACATTAGGGGAGTGATGATAGCAGGACTAGTTTTGGGACATTTCTCCCCAGCAATGAGCTAAACCAATATGATTCCTGCTTGTCACTTCTTTTTTCTAAGCAGGGTTTTCTTATTTCCCTTTGAGATTTCTCCAGTGAAAATGTACATCCAAGACTTCTCTTGCACACAAGACTTGGCATAAAACATACACATGTCCTGTACTGACCTGTCTTACACACACACAACAGGCCTGGGAGTTAATAGCTGAGATCTGAAGACAATTTCATGATTCTGTGCCTTCAGTCAGCAGATATTTTGGAAAATGTGTGGAGATGGGAGGAGAGAGAGAAGGTGTTGGGGCACTGAGGTGTTTTCTAGTGGGGAGCATTAACAGGAGAGGTGGTAGATGGAAAGGTGACACCAGGGCTGGGCCAGGCTGTGTAGGATTTCACTCGGGAATGAAACAAGCAGTCTGTGTGGATCAAGCTGGGGGTGAGGGACTGTCTAGCCCTGCTGCTGGATGCTCTGACTGTTGTGGGACTGTTTGAAGCACACTGGGAGCACAGCAAACCTGTGTGTGAGTGCTGGGTTGCTCCTGCTTCCTCCAGCACCTAGTGACAACTGAGTCCAGGCTGCCACTTGGAGGTATCAACTCCTCTCTTTTCTGGAGCTTCATACCTTAGAAATCACAACCTTTGTGATTTGACCTTTGTCAAATCTGGAGGCAGCCTCAGAGTTATTGGTGCGGGAACAGCCATTTTAATGGTTGTACATCTGAAATATCCATTTATTTTCTGTTCTCCCCCTCCTGTGGGGTTTTCTCATCCCTTCTCCCAGAGGAAAGGGTGCCCACTGTGAGCAGGTAAGTGTTGCTGTGGATGTGGAGCCGTGTTTCTGTCCCACAGCTGTGCAGGAGGAGAGGCAGAGGAGCAGGGAGCGGAGCGAGAATGAGGCCGAGTCCACGAGCAATGGCAGCGAGGACATGCCTGTGGAGAGGATCCTGGAAGCTGAGCTGGCAGTGGAACCCAAGACAGAGGCATACAGTGACATGACCACAGAGAGCTCGGTAAGGGGCACTGACATCACTTGCAGCTTGAGATGAGAGACTTTGAGGTGTGATTTGAACAGACAAACCCCACGTGAACAGCCAGCATTTTGCAAGGGGTTTTTGCTTCACACCACCTAAAAATCACCAACAATTTTTCTTTTGAAGCCATTCTGAATGACAACTAGAAAACAGCCTATACAATATTTTCCAAGCATTTTTTCCCAGTTCCCTTTAATTTCAATGAGTATATAGGGCAATGGCTGGATGTTGGAGCATCTGAGCCCTGTGCTGGCTTCCACAGTTGCATGCCCCTGGACACTGTTTGCCCAAGACTGGAATGGAGCTGGACACAGCAGGTTTACTGCTGTGGTTTTACTGGTTTTGATAAAACTGCTGCTTATGCCTGTTCAGAGGCTGCTTGATGGCTTTTAGATATGCCCTGGGGAGCAGGACTGCAGCCTGCCATGCAGGACTTGCTTTGCAAAGAGCAGCAAGCAAACAGAAAAGTCTGGCAACCAGCTGATTTGGCTGGCTGTAGAGGGGATAGTAGTAACAAATATCTCCTCCTCCCAACAGCACACAGCTGAGATTATTGGCAATTTGATCCTTCTACTTGTGGCTTTGAGTATCGTTAACTCGATCCGATACAGTGTGCAGTGCAGATAGTGGTTAGCAGAGATTTTTCATTGACAAATTCTCCTCTTTTCCTCTGTTCTTTTCCTTTTGATATTGCTCTTAATTAGACAAATGACCCTGTCACAAACATATGCCACGCAGCTGACAAGCAGCTCTTCACACTCGTCGAGTGGGCCAAGCGAATCCCCCACTTCTCTGACCTGACGCTGGAAGACCAAGTCATTCTCCTCCGGGCAGGTATTGTCTCCACCTGTGGCCTATGGAGCTATTCCCGGTACCCCTGTCCCTTCTCTGGGCTCTGTGCCATCCAGCCAGGCTGGGTGGCAAATGTGAAATCCTGAGCTGATCCATTCTTGCTGTCACAGGGCAAGCAACCCACCCTGAGCCACAGTGAATGGTTGGCAGAGGTTGTGAATGGGGTAGTGGAAGCTGTTGCTTCTTCCCCTCTTCGTGCAGACATGGAGCACTGGGGGAGAGCAAAAAAAGTGTGCCTGGTTGATGCAGTTCTTGTAACTGCAGAACTTACCATGAGTGAGGCACACTCATATGTTAGTGTGTAATGTGCCAAATGATGTAAAGGGGTTGCTGATGCTAGGAATAGGTTTTTAGGAGGAAAACCCAAGATCTTTTCTGGTTTTATTTTTTTTTTCCCTCCCTTTGAGCCTATTTCTGAATCTTCCTTGCTGCTGGTACAGGTCATAGAATCCTAGACAATCCTGAGTAGGAAGAGATCCACAAGGATCATCAAAGTCCTATTCCTTGCCCTGCACAGGACCACATCCCACCATGTGCCTGAGAGCATTGTCCAAATGCTTCCAAGGGGTTTGCCACCCCTTGCAGTGTTGGCAAGGGTGCAATTGGTACCTGGGGTTCCATCTCTCTCTGAGGCGAATCTGAAGCCAGCAGGGAGAAACCAGCTCTCCTGCTCCACGTGGAGCATGATTTTTTTGGCTGAACTGCCTCATGTGTCCTGCACACCTCCTCTTGCAGGCTGGAATGAGCTGCTCATTGCCTCTTTCTCTCATCGCTCCGTGTCGGTGCAGGACGGCATCCTCCTGGCCACAGGCTTGCACGTGCACCGCAGCAGTGCCCACAGTGCTGGGGTGGGCTCCATCTTCGACAGGTATGTGGCCTGTTTGTCATCCCCTAGCAGTGGTGGCCAGGCTGGCTCTGTCCTCCCCTCCGAAAGGGAAACATCCTGAAAGAGAACTAGAGCAAACTGGGGTGATTTGGGGCAGAAGTAGCTTAGAATGAGGAGGGGATGCTTCACGGACTGAAAAAAAAAAGAATGGGGTAAAGGCATGTTGGAAAGGGATTTGCAGGTGCAGAAGCAGATCTCTGGTTGGGTGTGCAGGGTGAGGAATGCTCCTCTCTCAAGAGTTTGCTGTAGATGTATCTAGATCTAATATTGATCACCAAGAGCTTTTGGTGGCAAAGCCTTAAACCCCAACTTGGTCATGTAACAACTGCATGTGTACTGTCCCTGCCATGCCTGCTCTCCGTCTGGCAGGACCCTAACTTACCACTCTTACACAACTAGCACATGTAGGGACAGTGCCCATGTTTTCCACAGTAAAAAGTGGAGAAAACCCATGTGGTTTTTCCTCAAGTGAGTGCAAATTGTTCTCCATAGTCCAAACAGAGCACAGGGGCCACATGCTGAGCAAAGTGAGAACAGGAGTGAATTTGACACTCGGGTCCCTGGATGCTGCTGCTGCTGCTCATGTAGAACAGCAGCGTGGGACATGGCTGTCCCTCAGAGCTGCCTCTTCCTGCAGAGAGGAATTGGGGGGTATTCCCAGTGCCTGTCCCAGATGCTGTTCAGCCCCCAGCCTTACTCTCTGTACCTGTCTCTGATTGTGTGCCCACCCATGTCCCCCACATGCAGGGTTTTGACAGAGCTGGTGTCCAAAATGAAGGACATGCAGATGGATAAGTCGGAGCTGGGGTGCCTGCGAGCCATTGTCCTGTTTAACCCAGGTAAGCCTGAGGCCCAGGCCAGTGCCAGGTGATGTGCACTCCCTCTGGGCCATGGCAGGTCACAAGTAGGAGGGCTGTGACAGTGAGGATCAGGACTGCAGACAGATTTCATAGAATCCTAGAATGGTTTGGGTTGGAAGGGACCTTAAAGATCATCTCATTCCAACCCCCCCCCATAGGCAGGGACACCTTCCACTAGACCAGGATTTGTCTCAGTCCCTGGGTACATGATTAAAGAGAGCCCAAGTCCTCTCCCACCCATCCACCCAGTCACTCTGCTGGCAGTGGAAAGGTCCTCTCTGCAGGGATTTCTTCCCCACCTGTATTTTCTCCCTTTCTCTCAGATGCCAAGGGTTTGTCCAGCCCCTCAGAAGTGGAGTCACTGAGGGAGAAGGTCTATGCCACGCTGGAAGCCTACACGAAGCAGAAGTACCCCGAGCAGCCAGGGCGGTGAGTGCCCCCGGGCAAGGCAGGCAGCGCGGGGCAGCGCCATACCCACCCTGGAAAGAGGAGGCTGAGGCAGGGTGTCTGTGCTAGCTCTGCCTGAGCCCCAGTGCCCTAATCCTGAGCCTTCAGGGTGCTGGCGAGATGGAATTCTCTTGCTTTCCAATCCAATCCTACCCTCTGCTGGCCGAGCTCTCGAAGCGCCGGCAGCTGGGTCTGTCCCCACCGCCGCCAGTCAACGATGCGGCTGCAGCATCCTCTGCGATTTTTGGCTCTCGCTGTCACCACAGAGCGCTGTGAGCCGTGGGGAGAGGGAACGGGCTGCCAGCTGCACCCCCTTCCAGCTGCGCCTCCAAATGGGAGGCAATGACTGGCAGCGGCACTGCTGAGGGGCTGCGCTCCCTCTCGGAGTCTGGGGATATTTGAAGACAGATTTAAATGGCACCATGGAGATGTAAGTCTTGCAAGATGTTAAGATGTTCAAGTCTTGGAGGGAGAATCTGGATGTATCTTCTTTTTCTTTTTTTTTCCCTTTTTTTTTTAATTAAGTTCTAAAAGTGCTATTCTCTTTTGGAAAGATGCATATTCCCTCCACACATACAGAAACAAATGCTTACCTTGAAAGCATAGGGGAATCTAAGACTGAGAACACCCCAAAGCGTTTTTGGAGAGAATTTGGTCTGCCTCAGGCCTGGAAATAGGTGGGAGAGGGTGGCCAGTGCTTCCAGCATGCCTCTGACTCTGTTCACTTACAGGTTTGCCAAACTCCTTCTGCGTCTGCCGGCGCTGCGGTCCATCGGGCTGAAGTGCCTGGAGCACCTCTTCTTCTTCAAGCTGATTGGGGACACCCCCATTGACACCTTTCTCATGGAGATGCTGGAGACACCCCTCCAAGTCACTTGAGGGTCTGGGCCCTCTCTGGCCAGCCCCTGGCCCCCCATGTCCCTGCACAACCTCCTGCCCTTCTTCTCTGAGCCTGTGAGAGCTCCAGAGATGTCCTTCACCCTCCTCTCCTCCTCAGTGGGATTGTCGTGGTTTTGTACAGCTGTAAATCACCCCCTCTAACCCTCCCTGGCCTGTCCAGGGGTGGGCCACAGGTCCTCTCCCCAGCTAACCATTCCCTTGTCCCCCTGTACAGATAATTGCTTTAAATTATTTTTTCATTCTCAATAAAAGTCAACAAAACAAATAAAATAATGTGAGCGAGGCACTGATTGGAGCTGGCAGAGCAGTGCCCTCTTTTGCTGTGGTCACAGGTCCAGTTGGGATGGGGCTGAGGGACCAAATCAGGGCAGGAATGTCACTGGGGATATAACTGCTTGTGCTGATGGGCACAGTCCTTTGGCCAAGACAGGACAGGTATTGATTCTTCTTGCTCCTGCTAAGGAAAGACCTAGAGAAACTTGCTGCTTTTAATTAAAATGTTTCATTCCACCATCTTTAAAAGAAACTCTTTGAATTATTTGAATTTTTAAAGTAATTTTAAAAGTAGTTTTTTGATGTGTTTTTTTTGTTGTTGTCGTTTGTTTGTTTGTTTTCTGAGCTCGTCCAGCCACTGACAAAAGAACCAAAGTGTTTCATTTTGGTCCTGGTGGAGTATTTTGGGTTGACCCAAACCTTCTGCTCATATATAACTTACATTTTCCTGAAGCTTCACGGATCCCATTCTCAAGCTTTTTTTTTCCCCCCCCATATTTTTGCACTGGAAACAGGTTCCTCGACCCCAAATTTATAATTTCACAGTTTCATAATTGGAACCTGTGGGGAAAGAAAGCACAACACACTCTAACAAACGATCCTCAAAGGTCTCCCTGGTCTTTCCCCTGCTCCAATGGCACCACTGGAGCTTCCCGTTGCAGCCGAGCTAACCAGAGTCAAACGAGTTAAAGACATTAATTTGTTCAATATGCGGAGCTTATCCTGGTGGGAAAATGTCCTCCCAGGAACCCAGCGAAACTGTCTGTATTATTATTCATAAAACAGGTGTAGTGTTAAGTGATCTGCCCCTCCTGACCCTCTCAGCAGACAGAGCGGTGAGATGCAGCCGCGCTTCGTCTGTCCGCCTGACAGATTGCAACGCTGCCGCCCGGCGACTCGGGCAACTTCCAGGGAGAGCAGGAGGGACAACAGGAAAGGAAGAAGGATAAAAATGAAACATTTTGTTAAAACTCCCCCCGCGGGGATATGATTCATTCTCCGGTATTTCACTGCGAGGAGGAAAAAGAGGATTAAAAGAGCAGGAGGGGAAAAAAAAAAAAAAAAGGAGGAACCCCCCAAAATTATGAAAACTCTTTAATTTTTTCTTTTTGTGGTGACACTGAAAAAAAATCCAGGGAGAATTTAGAAAGAAGTGAAAAGCATTGGCCAAAGGGCTATTTTTAATTGAAATTATATTTTTCCATTAACAGGGAAGTATTTAAAGACAGCAAATACACAACCTGCTCCTTGTAAAACTATTGCTAGAGTTTGAGATGCTGCACAGAGGCTGTGCTGGGATGGTACCACACCACACTGCTGGTGAAACAAAGCAAGTGGTCACCTCCAGCCTGGGCTGCTCGGGCTTCCCCCTTTAAGAGCTGTGAGCTTCTAAAAGCTAGTCTCCAGCTGGCTGGGTTGGGTTTCTTTTCTGATTATAAAGCCCTGAGGTTTTCCTGACCTCCCTGCTCTCTGGTTTGATGGTTTAAATCAAGAAAGTTGATTGACATCAGCAGGCTTTAGTGATAGAAGGGCTGCAGGAGCTGATGCTGGAGACAAATCCTGTGGCATTCATGGGCTTTTTTGAAATATGTAGAGGAAAACCTGACGGTCTTCGTGCTTGCAGCAGATCTCTTGCTAAGGTGGTGTCTGAGTGCTATTTTGGAGCCCTGCAGCCCTCAGTGGTAATTCAGAGTGTGCTTTGGCCCTGGGGTGAGCCAGCTGGAGAGGACAGGATGCTTCCACCCCAGTAGTGCTGTCTCTTTCAGGAGCTCACAGGCTGTTCTCAGCACCCAGTTACTGTGGCTGTGATCACAAGTGTTGACATGGAGCTGCAAGGGTGGAGTTTAATTTGGCCAAAACATCCAAGTGCTTTGGGCCAAGCTCAACCCTCTCTGATGGAGGTTTAGCACAGTGTGATGCCTCCTGGTGGCTTAATTTGAGTCTGTGATGAGAGATTTAGAGTTCCTGATATTCCATGTTGGCAGAACAGCTCAGTGTATGAGAAACAGAGAAAAATAAACTGGACAGAGTAGTGGGATCAGCACATATCCCAGATGGCACTGCACATGTCACTGCAGTGAGTGCAAGGAGAGCTTGCTAAGCCTCATGAGCCATTCCCCTCACATATCTTGATGCTGATCTCAGTCCACTGCCTACAATATCAACAGTCACTTTTTTGAATTTGGAAGTGATGGGATATGATAACCAAGACTGAGGAAGGAAGTCTCTAAGTGACTATTTGTGGCTCCTAGACACCCTCACTCTTAGCAATCTGGCTCAAGACTCCGGAAAAATGGGCTCTGGGCCACAAGGTTTCCATGTTGCAGTTCGAGCGTGGCTTTGTCCTGTTTCTGCAGATGACTAGTGTGGGGTTTTTTCAAAAAAATTGTAGGCTTGATCATCTGCTTAACACACCCCACCACATGCTCCCCCACCCTGTGTCTGGCAGGGCAGAAACCATGAGACAGAGCGTGGCTTCTGTGAATAAGAGACCACTGGAAGTGTCACCAGCAGACAAGCGTCCTGTGCAGAGGAAACGAGTCATCGAACAACTGAGCTCCATCTGCAGTCATTGGGAGCCTGAGGTTTGATGTCATCTCCTGGATTTGGTCCTAACCATCGATTCCTCATTCATGTGTGGGCCTCTGTACGGTGGTGTCAAAGTGCTGTGCTTCCCCAAGCCTTGCAAAGCATAGGGGTGAGCCTCTGTGGACACCCTGAGCAACAAATCCCTGAGCAGTTAGTAGAAACTCACTGTTGTGTTTTTCTTCAGGATGAGTTGCTGCAGAAGAACAGCAGCTTGCCATGGCTGGAGCTTCCTCAATCTGCAGCCCTGCAAAAGCCTAATTTTCACAAAATAGTAGAAATCACCATAATGGAATAAGCCAAAAAAAACTTCTCTCCTTGCTTGTATGTTCAGTCCCAGCTTGTGTGGAGTTACAGCTGCATGAATGATTAAAAAATAGCACTGAAGAACTCAAAAAGTCAAGAAAGAGCAAAGTTTAGGCCCCTTCTAATGTGATTGTTTTTCCTTGCAGACCTATGCCATGAGAGTGCCTTCAAAATTCAGGCATCAGCCACCGCTCAGCTGTAATGAGCAAAGTGTAACAGGGTCCAGTTACCTGCCCTTCCTACTGAAACCTGGCTCCTCCTATCTCCCCCAAATTTTGTTCTTGTCAGATTCTTGTTGCTGGGTCTTGCCACAACTTTGTCTGAATAGCCAGTCATTGGTTACCCCATGAAACCTCTCACAGCCTCAGATTCAGCTCGGACATTTTTTTCCTTGCTCTGGGATTAATAAATAAACCAGGCTCTGGGAATGACTGGTGCAAGGCTGTCTTCTCTTTCCTACCATTTTCTACATCTCATGGGCTTCCTGAGTTAGCAGCAGGTCCCCCACACCATGGAGAAGCTTTGTTTTGATGCACAGGCCAAACGTCAAAGCATTTATTAATTCTGAGCTGCTCGCTCTGCAGTGCTCTGTGGAGGGGGCTTCAGAAATAGTAGGTTTAGCCACTTATGATGAGCCCCTTGGGAAATGAAAAGCCCTTCAACTCCATTGTTTGTGCTAAGCTGGATTTGTCTCTCACCCAGAAATCAAGTTGGTGTGTTTTCCTGCCCTGTTTTGGGTTCTGTAGTGGCTGCTTCAGTTTCTATTAAAGTCCAACAACAGCACTTCTGGACTGGGAATAAAAAAAATAAATCCCAAGCTATAAAAGTTTGAGCTGGTTTGTATTCAGTTCATCTCTGTGCTCCCTGCTGAATTTAGTGATTCAAGGGCAAGTCCTATCGATCTGACATGACTTTCAGATACTGATGTTGTGACTCTGAACCAAGTGGCACCACCACTGGACTTTCCTCCATGACCTCTTGTCTGAACTGGACCCTGGCCTGCCTTCACCATCACACCTGAGCTCCCCTGAGATGCTCTCTTTGCTGCCTGGTTTCTCTGCTCATCCCTTCTCCGTCCCTCCTGTGTCTCTGCTGTTCCATCAAAGACTCAGCTGGGAGGCTGGGGAGACTGTGCTGACCAGGTACCTCCTGGAGCACTAGAGGGCAAGGGGAGTCAGAGGAAGAGGAGGAATTACACTGATGAGAATGGGGCTTCCCAGAGCTGCTGATGGCAGTGGGAAGCAGTGTGTGTATCCTCTTTCAGGGGATGATGGCTTTTATTCCATGGCAGGGTACATTGTGGTGGAAAGCATGACACAGGGAAGCCCTGATAAATCCCCGGGTGTTTATCAGCATTAGTGGACAAAGACCAACCTATAACTAAGCAAGCCCAATGGCTGCTATTCCACACCTCTCTCCTTATGCCCTCTGTGCAATTAACTCTACCTGAGATATGCTTAGTTTGGGGGATTTCAGTGGGGAAAGGAGAGGATTTTATCACCTATTTGACAGCATTGTGGATGTGGGCTGGTTTCTGGCTTGCCTCTCTGCCAGGCTGGCCAGCCCAGCTGGGTGTGCAGCAGCTGATGCCTATAAAGGGCTGTGAGGGCGGCAGAAGGAGAGGGAGGTGTGGTCCTTTCAGGGATGAGTGGTGTAGAGGGATATCTCTGGTGCTGGGCAGGTGTTTGTCTTCTGGGTCAAGCTGGCTTCAGGCATTAAAGGCCCCTGCATGATGCTGGCTAGCTGGCCCACTGATTCCTGTCCTAGGGGAGGTGGCTCAGAGCCACCTTCTTCCTTGGTCTCCCACGTGCCTGCTTCTGGGTTCAGCCCTCCCTGCCCCGGTGTGGTTCTGCATCTGCTTCACTGGGCAGAGTTAAGGTGATGTTGGAGGAGGGATCTGCTGCTATCTGGAGCCGTGTCAGGTGCTGTGACTGTGGATACCTGCCCTGGGAGCTGAGTGCTGCTGATCTCCTTCCAGCAGTGAACAGTGGGGACCAGCACAAAACATGACAGCTGGGCAGCCCCAGTGGGGTGATGGCTGGGGAAGATGTGCAGCCCCTCTACCAGTGCTGTGGCCTTGTTAATTTGGTTGACAGCTTCTGCTTAATGCAGTTT